GGGGGGGTGGGCGCTGCCAGGGCCAAGCTGCGACCGTAGCGGCCTGTCCCTCCCTGCCTCCCCCCAGTGGCCGACCCCCTCGGAGCGAGCTCAGCCACAGGACACCGACCTGGGCCGACTCCCATCAGCCCGCTTCTCAAATGGGCTCCCCAAGAGCCACACGAACAGCAGGAACAAGGCCCGGCACTGAGGTGGGCGCCACGCACGCAGTCCAGGGGAAGGGCAAATGTGGGACCGGGGCCACACACAGCCAGGCCTAACCCCCAAGCCCAGGCTCGCAATGCTACGACATAAAACAAAGGGGCTGACAGCCCTGAGCCAGGGACTCGAGAACAGTGGAGCAGCATCCGGACGCTCAGCACAGCACGGGAGGCGGGCGGCACTCTGCCAGTCCGCTCTGAACACCCTTGGGGGATCCCTGTCACAGTGACATCCAGGCAGGGACAGTGAGTGTAAACAGTCCCCGCTGCATCCTTGGACAAATCTAAGGCTGTCCCGGGGTCATCCGATGCGTAGATACCAACATGGGGGTTTCTACAGCAAATCAGTAAAAAAAAACCCTTACACTTGACTGTTCTTCCGTTTGTTTGTTTGTTTGTTTATTGCCACATGGCCTGTGGGATCCTAGTTCCCCGACCAGGGATCGAACCCGGGCCCCTGGCAGTGAGAGTACAGAGTCCTAACCACTGCACCGCCAGGGAAGTCCCTGTTCTCGCCTCTTAAAGGGCCAATCATCTCAAAGCAACTGGAAAGGGGGGCCCTGTGAGCCCTGTGGTCAGGACACCCACCCCGCAGTCCCACGGAGTCAAGAGGCCCGGAGCCACACACCTGGCGGTGGGCTCTGACCTACGAGGACTGGCTCCTTGCCCTCCCCGGGCGCCAGCTGCCCAGGATGCTTCACTCACCTGATCAACTCTGTCCACTTGGACACCAAACTTGCCTCCAAACCCCCGGACGGAGTCGACCTGCGAGCAGTGCTTGGAAAGCTTCGACTGATACTCATGGCCGACAGCTGACTGGAACAGGTTGCAAAAATAAAGTGTCAGACACCCGCCAGTATCACCACATTGCCCGCCCCCATGTGGGGTCTAAGGGGGAAGCCCGCACCTGTGGTCAGCGTTGGTGACCCTAATTGAAACCACTCAACGTGGAAGTTAGCCTGGGGGGAGCTGCCTCCCGGGGGGCATCGCAAGCCATGGCCACCGGTCAGGTGTTCCCCGAACTCTCTCCGTTATCGGCCTCCCCAGAAGCTGCCCAAGAAGCCCGGCCACAAGGGGGGCTTCTGACATGACTGGGCATGAAGAGCCAGGAGGCCAGGCCCCATCCGGAAACCGCAGAGCCAGCAGCCTGCAACATGACTCCTGAGACCCAGTTCCGGGAAGACCGCTGGCAATGATCACCCTACTCAAACAGGACATTTTCACAACACAGGACCCAGGAATCAGGACACAGCATGCATTTTGCTAACAAATCCAGACACGGGTGTGCTGGAGTCACGCCTCGCGTTCACAGTCAAGAGCCACTGTGCGTCCAGCCTGTCCGGGAGCGGAGTGGGCCCATCAGCACATCATCAGCCCCACGGACGGGCAGGAAGGGAGTTTGGTGACATCCTCTCAAGGTCACGTGCCAAACAAGCAGTCCACCCCAGGGTTTCCACGGCGTTTCCCACGGTGGGGTCAGCAAACCGTGGCCCAGGGCCCACGCCCGGCACTGAGGCTTTTTGTAAATGAAGCTTTTTGGAACATACCACCTCTATGCACTCACAGAACGTCTACGGCTGCCTCTGTGTCTCGACAACGCAGCTAGTTCAGGAGCTGCCTGAGACCCTGTGGAGGCCGCGAGGGCCGCGAGGGCCCTGAGCGGCACCCCCGTCCTGCTCCAGCCTCCCAGGCCCCTCACCCTCAGTGCTCGGCACCAGGGTCCCAGGCTCCCTCAGCAGGACGGACAGTGGTCACGGACCCCTTGGCGGACATCGAGGACACAGGATGCGTGCCTGCCACGTGACCCAGCACGGGGCGAGAAGGCACATCCAAACCCTGGTTAACTATTACTCCAGTGAGCCACCCTACCTCGGGCCCTCCTACAGTGAGGGACCCGCTAGCGCACCGTGGACCCCCTTCCTGTTTATCTAGAACTTCAGCAGCTGGGTTTGGGATCCAACCACTGTGGAGTCACCGCCACAACTGAGAACTCTGCAGGCCACTCGGAGTGTGCATTCTTTCCACAGCCCAGGGAGCAAAGTAGGTTCTACTTTAAAGTTCGGAGCTGTTACTTTCTCTCCTTTCTGGGTTGGTTCCGACACCCGTAGCTAACAACAGATCCACAGCACCGCAGCCTCGGAAAACCTCTGCGGCAGAGACCACCCACCCGCAGCTTCTGGGTCTCACCCAGAGAACGTCGGCAGAGTAACACGGAGGCAGCAGCACGCAGAGAGGATTCCCCAACTTGATTCTTCATCACAAAGAAGTTCTAAGGACACTGCTCTGAAAATATGGCCAGTGACAGCTTATTAATTTTTCCAACTTTTTGATCAAAACAGATTTATCCCTCAAATTGCGCTTGACCGTATGTTGACAAGACCGTATTTATTATCAAACAGTCAGCACCGGGCAGAGCGCTGCCAAAAGCAGGAAT